GTGGTCTCTCCTTTCCAACCAGAAGGGAGGGGACAGCCCAGATCCGAGAAGACACCTCCCCCAGGCGCAGGTGCCTGAGGGCCACGGAGAGGCGGAGGCGGGGGAGCGGCCTTCACCCATCCCGGCAGCTCCCGGATATGCCAGTCACTCACCCAGTCACCCACCCTTTACAGTTGAGGAAACTGAGGCTCAGGGGGCTAGTAACTCGCCCAGGGTGACCCAGGAGGAGGTAGAGCCGGTAATCAGTCATCCACCAAGTACCAGATTGAGCCCCTACTAAGTGCTTTGAGGAAAACTGAAGAGGGCAATGGGATAAAAAAGTGGTGTTGGGGGCGGGATCCTACTTTGGCCAGGATTGGTGATCAAGGCAGGCTCCCTTGAGGAGGTGACTTAAATTGTTTTTTGTTAAATATGTCTTGTACACCAAAAGTGTTTACATTGCCTACGTTCGGTTTAAAGACTAATAAAGATCTTTCTGCACCTAAGAAACAGAACATAGCGGGGCCAGGTGCTCAGTGGTTGAGCCTTGACCTATGAGCCAGAAGGTCATGGTTGGATTCCCGGTCAGGGCATATGATCCCCAGTGAGGGGTGTGCAGGAGGCAGCTGATCAATGATTCTCTCTCATCATTGATGTTTCTATCTCTCCCTGTTCCTTCCTCTGAAATCAATAAAAATATATTTTAAAAAAAGAAACAGAACATGACCAAGAACTCCGGAAGCCTCCTCCCCCAGCTGTCCACTCTCCACATTTCCTCACTTTCCTTTGTAGTTCTACCACCGCCTTACACATCCCTATACACTATGCAGTGGTTCTCAACCTTCTGGCCCTTTAAATACAGTTCCTCATGTTGTGACCCAACCATAAAATTATTTTCGTTGCTATTTCATAATTGTAATGTTGCTACTGTTATGAATCGTAAATATCTGATATGCAGGATGGTCTTAGGCGACCCCTGTGAAAGGGTCGTTTGACCGCCAAAGGGGTTGCGACCCACAGGTTGAGAACCGCTGCACTATAGGGTTTCGTTTGCCTGCTTTTGTTTGTTTGTTTTTTGTTAATCCTCATCGGAGAATATTTTTTCCACTGATTTTTTAGCGAGATTGAAAGGGAGGGAGGAAGAGAAACATTGATGTGAGAGAGACACATCAATTGATTGCCTCCCACACGCACCCAGACCAGGGTTAGGGATTGAACCTGCAACCCAGGTACCTGCCGTTGACTAAGAATCCAACCAACGACCTCTCAGAGCTTGGGCCAAAGCTCTAACCATTGAGTTATACTGGCCAGGGCTAGTTTGCCTGCTTTTGAACCTTATGTAAATCCAACTAACTGTATGCATTTGTCTATGACTTGATTTTTTCTTTTAGCTTTATTGAGGTATAGTTGACAAATAAAATTGTAATATTTAAAGTGTACAATGTGATGGGTTTTTCCTTCTATTCCTCCATTATGCTTCTTTGTTAATCCTCGCCCCAGGATATTTTTTCCATTGATTTTTTTAGAGAGAGGGGAAGGGAGGGTGAAGAGACAAAAAGAGAAACATCAATGTGAAAGAAACAACCATCAATCGTTTGCCTCCTATACGAGTCTCTACCGGATTGAGCCTGCAACTGAGGTATGTGCCCTTGACTGGAATCCAACCAGTGACCCTTCAGTCTGTGGGCCGACGCTCTAACCACTCAGCAAAACAGGCTGGGGCCATTAGTGCTTCTTTATTCTTTCTTTTTAAAAACTTACTTTTCAATTATAGTTGACATATAATATTATTTTACTTTCAGATCTAAAACATAGTGATTAGGCATTTATATACCTTGCAAAGTTACCACCCCAGTAATTCTAGTACCCATCTGTCATCATACATAGCTATTACAATATTATTGACTATATTCCCTATGATGTAAATCCCCATGACTTTTTATAACTGGGAATTTGTACTTCTTAATCCCTTTCACTTTTTTTTGCCCATCCCTTCTTCCCCTTTCATCTGCAACCATCACTTTGTTCTTCCAATCTATGAGTTTCTGTTTTGTTCTTTTATTTTGCTTTTTAGATTCCACATTTAAGTGAAATCATACGGTATTTGTCTTTCTCTGTCTGACTTACTTCACTTAGCATAATACCCTCTAGGTCCATCCATGTTGTCACAAATAGCAAGATTTCATTTTTTTAAAGGCCAAGTAATATTCCATTGTACTAGTTCTATATGCACCACATCTTTATCCATTTATCTATCAGTGGACACCTATCCATATGTTGGCTCTTGTAAGTAATGCTTTGATGAACAGAGAGTTGCATATATCTTTTCGAATTAGTGTTTTCGATTTTTTTCAGATAAATACCTAGAAGTGGAATTGCTGAGTCATATGATAGTTTTTTAAAAATATTTTAAGGAACCTCCCTACTGTTTTCCATAGTGGCTGTACCAATTTACAACTCCACCACTGAGCTACACTGGCCAGGGCCCCTGGGGAGTTCTTTAAAATGCTAATAAAGCCCCCAGCCAGTTTTTCTCAGTGGTTAGACCATTGGCCTTCAGACGCAATGGTCTCTGGTTGGATTCCTCTAGGGCACATACCTCAGTTGCAGGCTGGATCCCAGGCCCAGGTCAGGGATCTAAAAATCTATGGAAAAATATCCTCGGGTGAGGAATTTAAAATAAATAAATAAATAAATAAATAAATAAATGGCGAATACCAGAGACCCCCTCCCTATCATACGGATTAAATAATATGACTGTGGGGGTGGGGTGCAGGCCTGGGCAGTCTGGGCTGAGAACCCTGGGATGCAGTTGACTTGGGAGAATCGCTGGGAGGAGCAAAGTCACCTGTTGCTAGCTAATGCCGAAGTCTTCCAAAGTGACTGCACCCAGATGCCCGCCCCCCCCCCTCCCCCAGCATGGGACAAGGCCCCACTGTCCTCACAGCCTCATCAGCACTTGATATGGACCAAATTTTAACTTTTTGTCCTGCTGATGGGTGAGAAATCGCATCTCAGTGTGGTTTTAATTTGCATTCCTTTCATTACTAATGAGGCCGAGCAGTTGGTGAAATTAATGCTGAAACAGAGACTGCAAAGGAGCCAGCCAGGTGAGGATCTGGGGGAAGAGAGATTTGGGGGGGCAGGGAGGATGAAGAGCAGGTGCCAAGGCCGGGTGCTGGGCCAGGGCTGAGATGTGAGGAACAGAAAGGAAGTGGGCAGGGGATCGCTGTGCATGGGGAGGGGGAGAGGGGCTCCAGACAAGGTCGGCAGAGGTGAGATCAGGGCGGAGGGCTGTGGTGAGGACTTTGGCTTTTACTCTGGGTGAGCCAGGAACATGGGAGGGGGAGCAGAGGGACAACATGGCCTCACTCCCTCTGGCTGCATGTGGAGGAAGAATCATGGCTGAAACTATATATAGACACCGGAGAGAGTGTGTTCTTCATAATGACTATGGCCCACCCTACCCTGGACTCACCCACTAGAACAGGGTAAGGATGACTGTTTTGCACACAGATGTTATCCCTAGTACCTATGGCCAAACAGACGGTCGTTCCTGCCTTCATTCTAGGTGGTGAGTGGAGGGATTTGCAGGTTTTCATAGTCCTTGATTCACAGGTGGAACCACGTTAGGCCCCAACCCCTACCCCAGGCCTGGCATAGCCCCTTCTGGAGTCAGTGGGCTCACAGGAGAGCTGTGGGTGAGGGTACAGCTGCCCCTCCCCTGGGCCCACCCCCACCTGGGATCAGTCCGTGCCTCCTGTGGAGCCCAGTGTTAGGTCCTTTAGACACACAGGACTGGTGACCTTCAGACAGATGAGGAGACCTGCCTGGACACCACATTTCCCTACTACTCTCCCACCTGCCCAGAGAGATCTTTCTCAATGAAACCTAAGCAGGACCTTCCGCAGCTGAAAATCCTTCCTTGGCTCCCCAGTGTCCTTGGGGCAAAGTTCAAACTCCTCTAGACCCTGGAGGCCCAGCAGATCTGACCCCTCCCCGCCTCCCCACCCCACCCCACCCCCACCTCTGGAGCTGCTCTCAATGGCTCTGTGGTGGTTACTGATTCTTACCTCGGGCCTTTCCCCTCAGTATTTCTGCATTTCTTCTGGGAAATTGTCCTCGATCCCCTATCAGGTGACCTGCCTCTTCTTGACTATCACAGCGCCCTGTGGTCTCCCCCCGCCCCCATCAAAGCACACTTTCCTTTGCATTGTAATCGTCTGTTGACTCCGTCTGTCTCCCCCACGGGACGGGGAGCCAGCTAGTCTTCGTTAGAGAGCGCGAGTGTTTTGTTCAGGGCTGAATCCCCAGCTCCTGGACCAGTGCCTGGCCCATAGTGGGCGCTCAGTCAACATTTACTAAGCGAAGGAACGAATGCATTTTGCTCAATGATGCCAGATAGCTTTGCAAAAAAGCTACGTGAGGATGTCCGCTTCCTCGCCTCCTCCCCTGAAATGTGTATTGTTCCTCGTCTACCCCATGCTCTGTGCGAAGTGCCAGCCGGGCCGAGGAAATTTCCGCCCTCCCCAAGCTGGAGGCTCAGGCGGTTACGGAACAGCAGGTGCCACGATCCTCCGTGCGGGACGCCAGGGGGCGCCAGAGGCGGCCGACCGTGTAGCGCTGAGCTGGCCGGAGCGCGGGGTCCGGAAAGGGGTCCCTTCACGCCTGGGGGAATCCCCGCGCCCCGCGCCCCGCCCCCCAGCCGCTCGCCGCCGGGCGGTCAGTGCAGCTCCCACTGCACAACGGTGGAACAGCCCCCGCCCGGCTTCCAGCG